TATGATTTTTTGTCTCGGTGAACTGTATTGACTCCAACAAAGTACTGTCCTTTCTTTTCCCTTCAGAGAAATCCTTCTCCACAACAAGCCATCATAAAATTTTAATCTAGAGCAGGATGACACATAAGGTGTACATTATTTTGATTGAGAAATCATGCTGAAAAAAACATTAGGAAAAGTAGGATTATTTGATAAACATTACAACTGTAAGGACATTCTTTCTCCTTATCCTTCAGTGATATTATGGTTAAGCAAAAGTGCAATAGATGCACCTCTAGAAGCATTAATTTCCTTCTTAGTACAATTGCAAAGACTTCAGCCAAGTTCGAGCATTGAACGCTGAATCCAGGTCACATCTATGCTATTTGTTGAAATATTCTACCTGTTTAGCAACTATATTTATAAACTAAGATTACATGAATCCTGAACCTTCGTGAATTATTTTTTAAATTTCTTTAACCAGTTTGTGCTCCACTTTTGCTTATATAGGTATATAAATAGTATCAAAATAGGGATTTGATGTTTTTCCTTGTTTGCATCATTATGGTGTCTTATTGTGCTTAATATTCTTTTAACTTGATAAAACAAAACAAATTTTTAAATATTGTCTTTGTGAAAGGTTAGTATCCCCTTCATATACCCTCCTGTCAAGGCTGAGCCAATGCACAAGGAACTCAAACAATGTAGAGGTGCCAATGAAACAGATAAATTCAAATCGCCTTCCCAGTGTTGTCCCAAAGTAGTTTTCAGATCCAGTGCGATCATATACGGAAATTATCTGCAAATGGTGCTTATGGTATTTTTGGGTCATCTCCAGACTCCAGCCCTTCAACAGAGCTTTTTGAGGAAATCAGTTTTAGTGATTGAAATTAAACTCAGGGAAACTTTCATTAAAATGAATCAATTTCTACTTTATCCTAAAATTACATATTTGGCATTGAATATCCCAAATATGTTCAATAGTAAGAATGCTAGCAATCTGCTGCTCTTGATAAATCAATACAATGTGGAGACCATGACTGATGACATATGGGAAAACACTAGCATTGATCCCTTGCTTAAGGGCCAAACCTTAAAGCAGCTGTTTGTAAAACTTCAAAATAATCTCTTTCATTTTATTTGATTTTCTCCATCCATTTTCCCAAGTTTTGTGGGCTCTCAAAATTCTTTCTAACTACCTATCCATTGACCTGTCCACCACTGTAAGCAAACATAGAGAGAGGGGGAGAAAGGATCTTTTGTATTATGTATAGCTTTTCCCCCAGCTAAACTAAAAGAAAAGTATTTTTTTTTAAGCAAGCCCTTCTCTCTCAGCTCTGCTTCATCAAATCAGAGCTGACAGTAACTGCTTCAAAGTTTTTTTTAAAAAAAAAAATCTGGAGACCTAACCATTAAACCCCTGAGACATGAAACTCCTGAGACATTTGTAAGTCAGTTCTAAAAAGAATATACTGTTGACTCAATTGCATATCCTATGTGTTTATACTAGCAAACTAACTCACTTTTTTTAAAGAAAAATTCAACTCAAATAAATCAGACAGGCTCTGAATGAAGTGCAAATGTTATAAATAAATGCCTGATACTGAGCCAATCTGCAGCAGAGAAGGTGGATCATAATTCTGTCACATAAATCCCTGACCAATTTCTCCTTCCCACTCTGAACTATATGTGCCTTTTGGCTGAAATCTGTTCCAATTCTTGGCTGAAAACACCCAGACCCCATCTCTTGAGGAGCTTCTTAACAGCTGAGAATGTACCCATCTTCCCCTTGGTATATTGAATTCACTCCCTCTCATCTCAGAGACTATTGATGAAAATAGCTGTCCTCCCATCAATCATTCTTTCTCCTTGGCCATACAAGGTGAAGCAGGAAGGTTAGAGGAAGAAGAAGGAAAAGGAAAGCTGGTGGTGCTAAACAATGGGCTTGATAGGCATTGCTGGATATCAGAGGGAAAAGGCAGATGAAACCATTCTCCTGGCAGGATATTTAATCAATCTGATGTCTCCAGTGCATGTTTCACTGTGTGTTCTGGGGTGTTTTTTTTTTTTTTTCATTGTCTCAATAATTCTTCTTGGCACTTTAGTTGGGCCAAAATGCCATTCTATACGGTTCAAGAAAGCAGCAGCTGGAGCTTTTAAAAGAAACAAAGGAAGCCTGATAGATTCATTTTTAACCCCATCCATTTGTCCAGATCTTATGCTCAAATCTTTATGCTCAATCTGTCTCCAAAGAACCAAGTTCGCTAAGAAGAGAGTCTCAAGATGAAAACGAACCCTCTCTGATCCTTTTTCACATAGCTGTGTAGGCTTGTGACATTTCTACTCAGGTTCTAGAAGGGTTCTTCAAGGGACTCTGTGCAGCATTAAAGACCTTACTCTCTAAACAAAAATATGCCTTAGTAAAGCCAGTCATAAATGCTTTTATGCCAAGTGTTGATGTGGTTATTTTATTACACAATATCCTAGATGGATAGGTAATTACAAAGAAGCTTGAGAGCAGGCAAAACTTTACAGCCAACAATGTTGCATTAAGACAGCTGGAGATATGGACGCCTATATAGCCCAGGTAAGCCTTTATCTTCTTAGAAACAAAAGCCTTGCTTACAAAACAATCCAAACACAGGCAAACTCATGGCAACATTATGTTATTAGAAAAGTGCCAGAATATACCATAAGAATAAAAAGAACACCTTCTGTTATTTATTTATCTCTTACCTATTTATCTGTTATCTATTATTTAATACTGTTATTTAATTGGATTTCCTGTACATTGCAGGGAGTTGAGTTAGATAACTTTTGTGGTCCCTTCTAACTCTACCCTTCTATGAGTCTAAGGAAAAAATGTCCGCTTATCCTTAGGTTCAAATCGAAACATGGTGGCCATATACTCAGTTGGAACTCTGGCACTTTCAAATGGGGAAAACTTTAAGGATGAGGCATTAAAGCTTTTCATGCTGACATATTTTATTAGAGAGAAAACAAGGGAAATGCTCTGTGTGGCAAGGTGAAGCACAATTACCCAGAAAGTATGGGTATTCTTCTTCTTAGTAGGATTGGTTTATATATTTGTAAAAACAAAAACAAACACTATAAGAAAATGGGGGTGGGGGTGGGTTGCAAGTAGAAAATCTGGGCTATTACATCTCCTTCATGAACTTAAATTTGGGTAAAGCAAAGTAATTGAGGCTTACCTAGAAGTCCAGTCAGACTAAGAACTGGTGCATATGTTGAAGCTACCACATGGTGGCAGTCTTTGCATGATGACTGCCTCCATAGTGCCCCAATCAAAAAAGATCTGCCATGATGTGCAGAAAGGTATCCAATGTCCCTACCATATAGAAATGGTTTCCAACATGGGACAGCTGCCGTACGGGACATAGAAGGTATAGTAGTTAATAGTCCTAGGTCATGCCTCAGCCATATCCAATCAGGAGCAGAATTCAGGAGCAGATAGTCAGCTTTTTATCTTGCCTTTTTTAGAAGCATCAAAGTATTTTCATTTAGGGAGGCAAAACAGAATATGCCATTATATAATAAGAGGAATATTATTCAGAAGAGATGCGATAATTGGGATGGTTTAGAATTTTACCTCAGTGATTCATTCATTATCAGAAAATATCATCTGACAATAGATAGATAGATAGACAGATAGATAGATAGATAGATAGACAGACAGACAGACAGACAGATAATAAATTAATTAATTAAAAAGAAAATAAAAAGAAACAAAAAATTCAAAAGGCAGACTTGATGGACCACTGGATTTTTTTCTGTCATCAGTTTTCTATGTTTCTACACACCATTGAGAAGATTCTGTTAAGACGAAATCTAACACTGATTCCTGACTTTTTCCAGGTCTGTTATTTATCATGGACCACTTCATCTCTGCCACCAGTTTCCAAGAAGACAACTATATTTCTGTCAATTACATAGTTAAACGTTAATCCTTTTGCAGACTTTATTGATCCAGCCTGTTTAAAGAGCTAAGATAGATGTATGCTTTTGATACTTACATCTTACAATAATTTAAAGGCCTAACTCACATCTGCTGATTTCAGCTCAGAATCAAACAATACCATACCCTTGTCTCTCTCTTTCATATAGTCCAACACAAAATGTATAATTTGCAAGGAAATCCATAATTTTTAATATTGCTCATAAGATCTGAAAACAGTTCTCTGAATTGAATGTCTAACTAAAATATACAATGTCTAGCTGGATTAAATCATCCCGATGGGGCAATATTTTTAGTGCAAGTCAAACAAAGCTCAATTGCTAAATGCATGATAACTAATTATTACTACTTCTAAGTGTTTTCTTTGCCTGAACTCCATGACTAAACAAGCTGATTTTTGAGTTCACAACTGAAATAACCTCAACTAAAAAATAAGGTCGCTACAACCCTTTATTTTACCAATCGTGCTGAAATAACCTAACACTCTACTGAAATACATTCCTTTTTAAAAAATATACACATTATCCATCATATTCAAGTGCTTTATTTCTACAATAATCTGAGAGATGTTTCTATTCAATGGGCTTCCCGCTGACATTTAAGCAATCCTCAAGGTCTCTCCACCCAATCCATTTCTGTGGGAATTCAAGCAGGGAGGAAAACCCCATTTAGGTTGTATTTCAGTTGACAACTTTTGAAAATTTTGAGTGTTTTGTGTAGGTGATACATATCATTTTCGACCACTTGCAGGGCCATTTACTTCTCATAAAACGATTCCTGTTTCGATGGATCACCTTCCTTTTTTTTTTTTTTAATGGACAGCTGCTATTGCTTATTGTTACTAGCTTGAAGCAAACTCTTTCATGGAGAAGAAGTCCTGTGTGCTAGGATCTGGAAGCCTACTTTTATTGTAGGCCCACGAAGAACCTCTGCCTTCCTGCTTTGCATTCCATCCCAGTCTGAGTAAGACAACTTTGGACATAACGTTCTCCTTCTTTTCCCCTATACTTTACAGATATATGTCTCTCTTGAATTTCTTTCTTACCTGAGAGGGGGAGCTGAGAGAAGCAAGGAGCTTTCTGCCGAATGGATCAGGCTGCAGGCTCTGCCAACCCCAGCAGGCAATTAAGTCCTCCTGTTATAGTGACATCTGATCTTCTAGAGAAGCTCATTGGCCACCAGGCTCACAACAGTAAGGAGGGAAAGAGCAAGGAAAGAAAGAGGGGTGGGAAAAGGTCAGCCCAAGTATAGGAGCAGCTGAAGGAGCTGTCCTAGATCAAGATGGGAGGGACATGTTTGGCAAGAGTGAAAAATAAAACACCATATAGCTTAGCTTTCTATATTTAAAATCCCATCAGGCCAGCGAAATTTAAAGGACAATCAGTTCAAAGGAACCAGAGGTTGTCATGTATGCCGTGAAGAGCATGGTGATCGGTTACCTATGACAGTTTAAAGCCTGTCTAGTCCCAGAATTGTTCTAACTCCAACAGCACCTATAGGGTGAAACTGTAATGCTGGCAGAGAAGGCAGTGGGGCAAAAGGTTTTCCTGGAGTAAGCAGAAGAAAACTAAGAGAAGGCCCAGACAGAACTGCAAGACCAAGCAATTGGCTCCATCAGAATAACTAAGAGGGGATTCAGGTTCTACCACTTATTTAGTGAAGTTGCTGGCTTGGCCTTGTCACTCCAAAAAGTTAAAAGAGAAATTAAAAGATTACCCTGAGAGAAGCTTGATAGCTGATATAAAACATCCTCCTCTGATGTAATGCATCATCCAACAACACAATATGTGTTCTTGATATATAAGAATAACAACACATTCAGTGCAATGCAGTCCTTAAGTTTTTGTGACAGACTAAACACCTGGACGGATCTGAAACAACTGCTTATGTGGGTAAATGTTTTGCAAGTTGTGGTTGGAAATCTATTGCAGACTGATGGTTTTGACAATAATAATAATAATAATAATTATTATTATTATTATTATTATTTTATAATAATAATAATAATAATAATAATATATTATTATTATTATTATTATTATTATTATTATTATTATTATTATTATTATTATTATTATTATTATTATTATTGATCATTGCACAGTCAGCCAGATGTTCAGACTGGATTTGGCATTTTGTCTACCTATCGAGTCCTTACCCAGGACCTGGGATAGGCAGATGTGGATGTTTGATGGTATTACAGATATCGTCGCAGGATGGAAGCAGTTCCTAATAAGGCCGCCTTTTGCAATTGACTAATAGCGAATTTGTCAATGCCAATGGTGTTCAAGTGGTGCTCCAGTTGTTTTGGGATTGCACCCAAGGAGCCTATGACTATTGGTACTACCCTTGCTTGCTTTTGCCACAGTCTTTCTATTTCTATTTGTAGGTCTTTGTATTTTGTTATCTTCTCCAGTTCTTTCTCTTCTATTCTGCTATCTCCAGGCACTGCCATGTCCACTATCCAGACTTTTTTTTCTTTCTTATCGACAATTGTTAAGTCTGGGGTGTTATGTTGTTGTTGTTGTTGTTGTTGTTGTTGTTGTTGTTATTATTATTATTATTTTCAAAGATCCTCACTTGGAAAGAGATCCTTTTGGGATGGAAATTGCTAAGGATGGTTTTCGTAATACAGATATGAAAGGTTGGGTCGGCAGGCTGCTTTCGCGTGAACCAATCACCCAAAAGTCACGAAGCGGAGTGGGAATGCTGAACGTTCAAAGTCCCTGAAGTTGGTTCAACCCGCAAGAAAGATTAAACAAATGGAAGTTTTACCTCTTTCTGCCTCTAGGGGGCTCGCGGGTCTCAGCTATAAGCGCCCCTCCGTTGCCTCTGAGCTTCCAAAATTCTGTGCTTGCCCCCCCCCCCTCGCAATATACACACCCGATTTGGCAAGTTTCCCTTGGTGGGGAGCCTTCCGCTGCTTCAGAGGGGTCGATCCCTCCGCCAGCCTCTTTCTTCCAGCCTGTGAGAAGGGAGAAAGTTCCTTCGATAAAAGAGCTGCGGGGGCAGGATTTATTTTTGGGCATCAGTCCGCCTCCCCCCTCCCTGGCTTGGAAAGGAAGAGTCCAAGCAAAGATGCACCGACAGGGTTTGAAGCCCGCGGAGCCGAGCGCGGCAAGCTGCAGCCTTTAAACCTCCGACGCTGTTCACCAGGTATAGTAATGGAGAGCAAAGCAAATTCCGGTGTCTCTCTGGCGGTTGTAGGGAAAAAATACAAAACAAAACCCTTCTCCTCTGAGGTGAAGGGAGAGCCGGGAAGGTCCTGCTGGCAAGGCAAAGGTTTCAACTGCTCCGTCAAGGGGAGCAAAAAAAGACAGAAAACAAAACAAAAAACAAAAACGGGGGGGAGGTAGGAAGGCACAATAAGAGAGAGGGAGAGATGGGAAATTGCTTCGTCTTAGATCTGAAACTTCGGGAGCTGGGAGTGAGCGTGCAGGTAGCTGGCTCATTCGTGCGCGCGATCCTCGCCTGCGCCAGCCGGGTTCGCCTTCTTTTAAACTCTGCCTAAGCAGATGCTTCCCCCCCCCCCGCGCGCGCTGCAAACCAGCTGTCGATCAGGCCTTCGGGACTGTATTGCTTGCGGAGTTTTGAGAAGGCAAACTAAAATACTTGTTACACTCAGCTTGGTTAGTGGCTGGCAGGTTATTGCCCAGTGCCATGCAACTTGGAGTCTTTGGTGCTCTCAGAGCTTGGCTGCTTCCTTGCCCTGATGATGTTACCTAGTCAGGTAATGAAACGTCTGCAAGCAAACAACCAAGCTCAGAGAGGCACCAAAGACTCCCCTGGTCTCAGGAACAGGGAACCTCTTTCCGGACCTGGCTTCTTATTAGGATGCTAGACTTCAAAAAAAAGTTACAAAATGTGTAAGGAAACTTTTTAAAACTTGCAGCAGAGATAATATATTGACTCCCTGATTATATGCAAGAAGGTAGACAGCATCTGACTTACAAAATGCCTGAACATCTGACTACCTTTAGATACAATTCTTTCTAAAGGTACCCTATTTAATAATAATAATAATAATAATAATAATAATAATAATAATAATAATAATAACAGCAGCAGCAATAATAGCAACAACAACAACAACAACAATAATAATAATTCAGTACTGTAAGCTTCATTTTAAGGGTTGGAAGAGACAACTGAGAAACGGTTTGAGGTAGTATGGGATGAACTATTAGTCTGCACTCTGTACTTTTTTATAGGCCCTTGGGCTGAAAAAGGGATATCTGCAGGATTGCATCATTTGTTGCATCAAAGAAACAAAAACAATCCCTTCTAGCACTTGTTTAAAAGATTAATCCCTATGAGCATGCCTCAGTTTAAATGGTTGGGACTTAGGGGCAGCCCTATCACTTGTTGCAAGAACAGCTTCATCTGGGAGGTGCTTGGGATTGGGGTACAGTGGCAAGATCTTGGAGAACTCAGGGGACATGCTGTCACACTTACTCTGCACTTTCTCAATTAATCAGCTGCCTTCAGATGCAGTGGATAAAGATCTCCTGTTTCCAGTATTGAACAGAGATTCATTCACTTGCATAATCCCATTCCTATGCACTGAAAGGAGAAATGCACGCTTCATTCCAACAGGAATGGATTAGTTCTGTTCTTATACAGTTCTTCAGTTTTGTGCATTTCATTCCTTACTGCCTGCTTCCCATGTGTATTCATGATTCAAGTTTCACTTGGCAGCAAAATTTACCACTGGCAGCAAAGGGTAACATTGAGGTGCCTTGCTACGCGATGATAGTGAGACTTTTAATATTCTCATCTTCCGATTGATAGTTCTGCTACGTGCTTGACTTTTTCATGGTGTCTTATAGACTTGTATGTTATGTTGAGGATTATCCGTGTGAACATGCATGACATAAAATGAAGCAGAGTTGTCACAATAGTGTATTTCTGGATCTAAAGAGGCGAGAACATTTGAAACGATACATGCTTTGAAATTTGGTAAAGTGGCCTTGCCCTTCCATTTTCCCTTGGGCTGATAACATCTCTGCATTATCTGATTTTCTGGTACATGTCAGCTGTTTAATTTGGAACATCTTTATTTGGACTGCTCACATCACAAGTTTTAGATTCCCAAAAGCAACTGGAATACTTGGTGAAATTAACTGTTGTTTTAATTCAGTGTTTTTATTCTGACTTATTATGGCCAAATGAAGTCAAATCAGCTGAGGAGAAGTAAAAATCATAAAGTACTATATCAGCAATAAAAATTAATACTAAGGCATTTACTAAAAAGTCATTTTAAACATATTTCTGAGGCCAAATATAGCAAATGTTCAGGAAATGAATTAATCCTTGTAAGTCTGCTCCTTTAGACAAGATTCTCTACATATTGCAGTGCAGCTGAGCAGAACCCATCTGTTGTAGGTCAGCAGATAAGGGAATGTAGAAAAAAAATTCTGAAAAAAAGTGTAGAAGAATAGCCCAGCCATAGGGAAGAGTCATAGTTTACTAACAAAATGAAGGTTTTATATATAGAATGCTACTGATTTAGTCCCTGCCATCTCAAGTTCACAGACTTCAGGCTGTTGCGCCTGGAGTGATTTCTGCCTGAAAAATTCCTGTCAAGTCAAAGGAAACACACTGAGCTTGAGAGTTCACTCATTTTTACTAATATAAACAGCTTTCCACTTCATGTACATTCTGGACATCTCATGAAACCAACTAAACAACTCTATCACTTCTATGGTAGACATGCTTTTACATCATCAACCAAATTCAAAGGTTCCTTTAAAATATTATGCATGATTCATCTACTAGGCCAATATTTATTCATGAGTCTATGAGTCTGCCCAAATCTAATGTCTTCAGGATGCATTAAATGATAAAGCTCAAATTATTCTTAATCAATGGGAAAGCTGAGGTGATGGGTTTTAAAGGGCATGTATCTGATGCAGCGTTTCTCAACCTTGGCAGATAGGTGGACTTCAGTTCCCAGAATTTCCAAGCTACTTTGCTGACTGGAGAATTATCAGAATTGAAATCCATTCATTTTAAAGCTGCCAAGGTTGAGAAACATTGATCTGGTAGATTCCAGGTATCTTGGACAGAAATTTGTCTTGTTTTACAGAATTTTCCAAGGCGAAGAGACATGCAAACTGCTGTCTCTTTGTTTCGGCT